GTGGGGAAGAAGCAAAGTTTCAAAAAGAGGGGTCAGAAACACAAAAGCAACAATACGGGATAGAACACTTGGGTCATCAAAGTCAGGGGGTTGAAATTCGGTCAGGAAGTCGAGGGGATTCAAGGCAAGTCCAGGGAAGCGGGTCTGAGTAAAGCCCAGCAGCAGGGACGTACCTAGCAAGAATGCCAGCAACTAGCCACCATTCTATATTAACAAGGTCTTTCTTTGATTGAAACAGGGGCAGAAGTCTTGTCTGCTTCGGAGAAACCCTCCGTAAGGAAAGGCAGCACCCAAACAGGTATGACTGGAAACTCTCAGGGCCCTCCTAGAAAATGGGACTTAGTTTAAATGTCAAGACAATCATGAGTAGCACAATTTAGCATAACTGTACCCCAAATGAGCATAAGTGGGTTTCAAAATTGGCATGTTTAAGATAGGATTCAATTAGAAGTTTTCAGGACCCTCCTGGATAATGGGGCGTAGTTTTATGGTCGGAGTAGATAGCAAAATATAGTGGAAGTCGTATTTTTAGCTAGAAGATTGTCAGGACCCTCCTTGATAATGGGGAGTAGTTTAAAGTCTTTTTATAACAAGTGTGGTGGGAGTACTACCTTTAGAAAATATAACTTAGAAGTTGTCAGGACCTCCCTGGATAATAGGACTTAACTTTCAAATCCTTACAATAGTTGGTAGAATAATTCAATTTAACACTCTATTTGGGTCCAGCCACCAAACTGGGGCAGCAAATGTTCTTTGTTTTCTTTACTTGTTGCAATCAGGCACCCAGCTGGAGAACAAGGAAATACATCTCAAGTTTAGCAATCAGGCGCCCACCTGGAGAACAAGAGAATACATTTCAAGTTTTAGCAATCAGGCGCCCACCTGGAGAACAAGGGAATACATTTCAAGTGTCAGCAATCAGGCGCCTACCTGGAGAATAAGGGAATACATTTCAAGTGCAGCAATCAGGAGCCCACCTGGAGAACAAGGGAATACTTTTCAAGTTCAGTACTCAGGAGCCCACCTAGAGAACAAGGGAATACTTTTCAAGTGCAGCAATCAGGCGCCCACCTGGAGAACAAGGGAATACTTTTCAAGTGCAGCAATCAGGAGGGAACCACTCGAACATCTATTGTACTCACCCCTTTGGAGATGTTCCATGCGCCAAAGTTGAAGTAGCAGATTACAACCCTCGAAATGTTTGGCACCCTGTTTACACCTTTCTAGGGCTCGGTATATTTCTGTAATGATCATTGGCACAAGACTGAATGGTTGTCCGCCAATTCCTTCCATTAGAGTTTTGGTGACCATAGCTAGCCTGGTATGGATTCTTGCTTTCTTCATTGGAAACACTATCATCCCCAAGAAACTGAACATGAAGACAAAGACCCTTCGATGAATACGCCCCAATGACGTCAGGATAAGTACGGTAAGATTTGTTGTGACCGTACCTCTCGTACAAGTAGTCAAGGGGAATGTATGACTCCTTCAAACATGTCAAGTCTGGATTTTTCTTTAGACCCATCATCTTGAGAAAACCTCTACCCTTGCGATTTTCTGGCATCAATAAACCCGGAGTTTCCCACGGTATACCAGCCAGTCCTCCTATTTCCTCGAGCAAATGGTGTCATCTCAATGTCCCAAAAGCGGAACACAAACCTATCACAACCCCAAAACAGAGTGATAGCTTCTATGATTTTGTTGTTGGGTTGAATTTCCAAGAGAGAAGGTAGATTTCCTAGATATTTCCTGACAAGAGCTTGATCACTAGAATGAAGATCTTCCTACCAGTTTAGCAATTTCGGGTGGATGTTGGTGACCATGTCGAATCTGGGGACTTCGTGCCTCATATTTCTGCAAGACAAAGTGTTAGGCCCTTACCCCCCACCAGACTCGACTACTAAATGTCAATAATTGGCATAGCAAGCATTTAGTTCTCAAAATAAATGCACAAAATGGGGTAGCATCCGTTTGGGTTTCAAGGAAACCTGGTGGACTTGGACAAGGCTATCTTAAAGAGTCATTATGCGGACAACATAACTGACTCGGCTAGGTTTGACCATGATGCATGCACAATTTAAACAGAGTAGGTTTTCTATGGGGTATTTGACTGGTACCCTTGAGCGGACAACTCAAGAGGGAAAGGCGCGGAACCGTCGACTACACCGTTGATCGACTGATTTTACCGCAAATATGCCTTTGCCAGATTTAGGGGTGATAATATGGGAAGAGCGAAACCACTCATTATAAGCGTTGCTATGGTATTTTGTTTGGCACGAGTGTAATATGATGTTGAAAACATGCTTAAGCAATAATTAAAACAAGTTGTCATGTATGTGCACGTTACAAAAGCGATAATTACAACAATTCCTCATAATTTAAAATGAGAGAGTCTTATTGGGGAAAACACTCACGGGCATCGTAAGGCGAAGTGAGTTGAGAGAAATCAAAAATGAGAGAGTCTTATTGGTGAAAACCCTCACGGGCACCGTAAGGCGAAGGTGAGTTTTTCAGATAGGCAAATGAGACAAGTCTGTGGTCGAAAGCTGCTCAAGACATTGCAAGACGAGCAAGGTTTGGGTTTGGGTGAAAATCAGGTTATGAAAGTCTGGAACAGCAAATGTGGCAATCGAAAGTTGATTGGCTGGACAGACTGGGCTGGTTAATTCAAAATGCATGGCACGCTCAATGGTACCAGCTGTTCCACTCAGATAAGTCTTATTCTCTTCTTTCTTCACCACAAATCATCCGTTCTCGGATTCTCTTTATCCTTAACCCTCGAGGTCGTTGCATTTCATTCTTTCGAGGTCTATCTTTAAGATGTTTCAGTGTCAGTTCTGTTCGAAACAAAAGGAAGGAATGTCAAGGCTAACTACCAGCTTCCTAGTTGTACAGCACAACAGGGCCAGAATATATCAAAGATGTCAAAAGGCAAAGTAAGTCATAAAGGACCACTGGAAGTTTCATCGGTGGATTAATCAGATAATTGTGGGGAAGAAGCAAAGTTTCAAAAAGAGGGGTCAGAAACACAAAAGCAACAATACGGGATAGAACACTTGGGTCATCAAAGTCAGGGGGTTGAAATTCGGTCAGGAAGTCGAGGGGATTCAAGGCAAGTCCAGGGAAGCGGGTCTGAGTAAAGCCCAGCAGCAGGGACGTACCTAGCAAGAATGCCAGCAACTAGCCACCATTCTATATTAACAAGGTCTTTCTTTGATTGAAACAGGGGCAGAAGTCTTGTCTGCTTCGGAGAAACCCTCCGTAAGGAAAGGCAGCACCCAAACAGGTATGACTGGAAACTCTCAGGGCCCTCCTAGAAAATGGGACTTAGTTTAAATGTCAAGACAATCATGAGTAGCACAATTTAGCATAACTGTACCCCAAATGAGCATAAGTGGGTTTCAAAATTGGCATGTTTAAGATAGGATTCAATTAGAAGTTTTCAGGACCCTCCTGGATAATGGGGCGTAGTTTTATGGTCGGAGTAGATAGCAAAATATAGTGGAAGTCGTATTTTTAGCTAGAAGATTGTCAGGACCCTCCTTGATAATGGGGAGTAGTTTAAAGTCTTTTTATAACAAGTGTGGTGGGAGTACTACCTTTAGAAAATATAACTTAGAAGTTGTCAGGACCTCCCTGGATAATAGGACTTAACTTTCAAATCCTTACAATAGTTGGTAGAATAATTCAATTTAACACTCTATTTGGGTCCAGCCACCAAACTGGGGCAGCAAATGTTCTTTGTTTTCTTTACTTGTTGCAATCAGGCACCCAGCTGGAGAACAAGGAAATACATCTCAAGTTTAGCAATCAGGCGCCCACCTGGAGAACAAGAGAATACATTTCAAGTTTTAGCAATCAGGCGCCCACCTGGAGAACAAGGGAATACATTTCAAGTGTCAGCAATCAGGCGCCTACCTGGAGAATAAGGGAATACATTTCAAGTGTCAGCAATCAGGCGCCCACNATTTTGTTTAGCTGATCAATGACCGAGTATTCCTTCGCTTGTATCTTTCTCCAGAGATCATCGGGCCCAGTTTGAGTGATGGCTTGTCGACCAGAGGTCTGCTTACTCGACTCAGCCAAGTGTTCCGGGGTATAAACTCTACCGGTTCTTGTCATACCTTGTGCCGCAACTGCTTCCCCGAACTTGGCTTTCCCTTTCCTTCTTGCCTCGGCTGTGTAGTCCCATGGTATGGCTTTTGCGTGGAATGGTGTTACAGCTGTCATTGCTACCGGAATGGGCACCCTTGCTTTGGAAGGTAATACAACAACTTCAAATGGTACAGGCGCCTTTGGGGACCCAAACTCGACCTCAATTGGTGTTGGCGTCTTCGCTGAGGATGGTGTTTCAAACTCAAGTGGTATGGACATGTTCACGTCGGCATC